TTGTTGTGTTTCAGAACCCTGCTTGTATTTCTGGTGATTGGCCTGGAAACACAGTCCTCAGAACCGATGAGTGATGTGTGAGTGAATTGTGTTCAGAGGTAGTAAGAACTGTCAAGTGTTTTCTCATGAACATTTATGAAGATGGTTGTTTTAATAAAAGTTTGTTTTATAGGTCTCTTACCAAATGTTACTCTGCAACTAACGATTAATTCATGGAAACGATCCATGCTGAATGAGAGGGATACGAGCAGCTTCAGTTTAGCTTTAAATAAGTTTTTATAGGTTCAGCATTTCAAATAAATGTTGTTTGCAATAAATTACATTATAATTTACTATACTCATATACTCATATTTTTCATTTTTGTTCTGTAAAATACAGAATAGTGTAAATATGTGGACCGTTTGCACCAATAATATTGTGTTATGTTTGCTGTCAAGTTTCTATTCCAGCAGCACTTCTTGACTGTTACATTAGTTCATTAGTGTGCAGCAGTGCTTTGAGTCTCTCTTCTGTCAGACTGAACCAAGCTTGTGTTCCTCAGTTTGTTCTGCTTCAATAATACTAACAGTCCTTAATATTACTGACATTATGAGGGTCTGAAACTGATTAATGAGCTTGTTTTCTCACCTGAACTCTTGACAGTATAAGTGACTGAGGTCTTGACTTGATCGCTCTGAGTAACATTGCATCTCCACTCTCTGTTGTGATCTTCATTCAGGAGTGTTGTAGTTAGAGAGCTGATACAGTGTCCTGGAGCTGATATCTGATATCTGGAGTCTGATCTCCTCAGTTTAACACCAGCCTGATTCACCCAGAACAGCTCAATTCTCTCAGAACGGATCCAATCACCACAAGAGACTACAGCATATGAATACAGCAGACAGGAGAGAGTCATTGAGCGGCCTGCACTGATCTCAGTCTGTGAGGATGAGACTGAAACACACAAATAACACACTCTTCAATCATCATGGGAGTGTAAACCAAGAATTTGCCCTTTTAAATTGGCCAAATGATTGTAAAATTACCATGAAGAACATGCAGAAAAACACGAGAATCAGTTCCTTGTTGTTTGTCATTCTCATATTGTCTGCAGCTGTAGGATCCATAATCTTCTTTTGAGATGTTCCTGATGTTCAGAGAGCAGTCAGACCCCAGACTCAGTCTCTCATGACTCTCGATATGTTTCATAATTATCCCTCTAGCAATCAGTTCAACTGCTGCTGAATGTCTGTTACAGTTCCATGTAGTTGATTTGCAGTCATGAAGAGCATTATTACAGGGCAGACGGACATTTTCACCAGAACTGATGAACACATGAGTCTCATCCTCTCCACTGGAACCTGAAACACAAATACATTTTGGTGATCATTATGTTAAATATTAATAAACGAAAACAAAAAACATACCAGCATAAAAAGCAGAAGATTCAGATCATAGTTTTTTTCCTCACTTAATGCAAACACTGTCCAGAATAAACTTTCTTTACCTGTGAGATGTGAAGAGAGAGCGATCAGCCCCAGCAGACACAAATGACACTTATGAGCCATTTTCTTTTTCTCGCAGTCTTTCTCTTCACTATTTGCTCTCAACTCTTTCTTTAAATACTATCAGCCCCTCCTGTGGTTTTAACTTCCTCTGATCTAACAAACTGGGCGTTTAAATTCTGCTTGAATTGGTACATACTGACACAATGTCAGTGCATGATGGAGTGCACATTTCTCTTGTAAATATCAATTCAAATTAAAGTAGATTTCACTTCTAATATTTTTTTTTTCATTAATGTAATTGTCACGGAATGCCAGGAGAGACAAGTTAAGATCTAGTTGCAGTTTATTGAAAGTAACAAAATAATCAAAACAGAACAAAAACGTGGCAAAAGGTAATCCAAAACGCAAGGAACAGATAACACGGTGAACTATAGACAACTCAGACATAAGATCAAACACGAGATATCAAATACAAAATAACAGCAATGACAGACAGAGTGAGCAAGGTATATATATAGCTGGGACAATGAGTAAATGACTAACAGGTGATAATGATCGGAAATAATAAACAGGTGCTAATGATCAGACAGAATGACAGACAAGGGACTATGGGAAATGGAGTTCACAACATATAACACAAACACAGGACAGCGCCCTCAAGTGGCCAGTCCAGGGCACCACAACCAGACACTGTGACATTACCCCCCCCTCTACGGAGCAGATACCAGACGCTCCACCAGAAAACAAAAAGTTCAGGAGGGAGGTGGAACTGAGGCGGACCAGGGGGAGGGATGGCGGGCCAGGACCTTGCCAAGGAAGGGGTTCAGGGAACAGAGGTAGACCAGGGTCTAAGAGCGGAACCGGAAGGGTGGAAGGCCAAGGCGGGGCCGGCAGGACGAACCAGCAGAGCTCTGTGAGCTCCCGGGCTGGAGCGGGCTCTGGAGTGGGCTCTGTGAGCTCCCGGGCTGGAGCGGGCTTTCCTGTCCTCCTTCTCACCCTCCGCCGCTTAGTGGGGGTCTGAAGGATAGAGGTGGTGGGAAAATCCCTGCAGAAGGGTTCTGCCTGGCCTGGTATTGCCCACTGACTTCGACCCTGGAGATATCTGACGAAGCCCCAGAAGTCTAGGATCTCGAGTCCTTTCACCTCCCACTGGGGCAAAGGATTATCCAGACAGATGTTAAGGAGGTCCTTAAGTGCAGCCTCATTATAATCTAGCCCCACCACCAACGTCCAAAAGATCCAGGCAAACGCACCAAACTCCATTCCTTACAGCCACTGAGCCATCAGAGTCCGGACTCGACTCATACGCTCCTTCCCTGTGGCAGGAGGGACAATCCGGATGTCCATGGTCAAAATAAAAGGAAAAAGAAAAAAACTGCTGGATCTTGTATTCGCTGCTATTTTCTGTCACGGAATGCCAGGAGAGACAAGGTAAGATCCAGTTGCAGTTTATTGAAAGTAACAAAATAATCAAAACAGAACAAAAACGTGGCAAAAGGTAATCCAAAACGCAAGGAACACATAACACGGTAAACTATAGACAACTCAGACATAAGATCACAAACTCCATTCCTTACAGCCACTGAGCCATCAGAGTCCGGACTCGACTCATACGCTCCTTCCCTGTGGCAGGAGGGACAATCCGGATGTCCATGGTCAAAATAAAAGGAAAAAGAAAAAAACTGCTGGATCTTGTATTCGCTGCTATTTTCTGTCACGGAATGCCAGGAGAGACAAGGTAAGATCCAGTTGCAGTTTATTGAAAGTAACAAAATAATCAAAACAGAACAAAAACGTGGCAAAAGGTAATCCAAAACGCAAGGAACACATAACACGGTAAACTATAGACAACTCAGACATAAGATCAAACACGAGATGACAAATACAAAATAGCAGCAATGACAGACAGAGTCTGTTTGAGTCAGCGGCGGCCGGCGGGCCTGAGTCAGCAGCGGCCGGCGGGCTTGACATAGGAGAGGCCGGCGGGCTTGATGGTGAGCTGGTTCTGGATCGGGGCCGGACGCTCTCCAGACACCGGAGGATCCCTTCTCTCCAGCTTAGTCCAGTGGTGTCTGGGAGGTCCACGGGGCAATAGTAATTAGCCCTGATCCAGAACAGCAAGTTGAGCGTCGCATTGTCTAACGCCGTACTCGCGGCGAACCTGCAGAACTCCCACGCATACTCCACAAACGGGAGATCCAGGTGAGCTAGGGTGGCGAACCGAGCGGCAACTTCCATAGCCACCAGGAAAAACTGGGAAAACAAAAAACTTTCAAAACCGAAATAAAACGGGGAGAAGGGCGCCTCTTCCTCTTTGTTTTAGGTCTGAAATTATGTCACGGTTCGCTACTGTGAGGAGCACAGAGCAAGGAATGAGGAGACGCAGAGTCGAATTCAAACTTATTGACTTTAATAATATCCAGGGAAACAGGAAAACACATGTAGCAAGGTTTGACATCAACAATTCCAGACAGGGGAGAACAGAACAGGCTAGAACTCAAATAGGGCAGATAATGAGGGGCAGACAGGTGAGGAGGATAACTATTAATGAGAAACACCTTGAACTAATAGAACTAAATGGGCATAGGAACAGGAAGGAGCAAATAAGGACAAACAGGAACTAAACGTGAACATTCACATGACAACTATTTATTCAGTATCTTTATGGCCATTGGACTTTTAGCTAATTTAGCAAGGTTTGTGAAAAGGGTGGCTGGTAAAGTTTAGCTAAATGCTTGCTAAAGACATAACAGATTGTAATTTTGGTGCAAAACATTTTTTTATTGCCTCACTCAAATTAGTATACTACTATTCAGTATATCATTAAACAGGATATACCTTGAATCATAAATAAACAGGGGGAAACAAATCATTTTTTAAAGAAAATACTTGCTCATTTATCAAAACAATATAATATAAAATTATTGAACCGTGTTCCCTTACTACTTTGTAATTGCCCCTTGTACACTGTTGACCCTTTAACCAACCCTTAAACATACTGTGGCGAGCAGTGTTGGGGAAAGTTACTTTTAAAAGTAATGCATTACAATATTGCGCCCTCTCAGTCCCTGGTCGACAACCATGGCTTCCTCCAAGATCATCTGCGCTGTGGATATACTGTGGCGAGTATCCCGAGTCCAGATTAGCGTCACCCTGGAAACGCCGCTGCCACACTGATCACCGACGCACAACACCTGTGCGTGATGAGTGGCGCACCTGGAGCTCGTTCCCGCTTGCCTTAAAAGCCAGGAGAACAGACACCAGCGGGGAGGCACCCCAGAGCTCCAAGTGACATTAATGCTTGTTTCTGATTGTTCACAGACACCGAAGGCACCCTGGGAGAGGGATCTACCCCACGAGCACCACCCTGAGACAGGCACCGAGCACCATTCCTCAGAGCATGTGTGATCAGTGTGTGGGCAATAAATCATGTACGAAACATATATATATATAAATATATACACTTACAGTCTCATCCACCGTCGATCAAAGCTCAGTAAAGTTTTTCAAAAAATGTAAGAAAGTAATCTGCATGTTCTAGTGTTAGTGACAAATTTTTACATAGATTACGTAGAGTTAAAGTAGTGTGGAAAAATATTGTAATCCCAACATCGGGCATATATGCCGATCAAGTATTTGTTTGGTCCTTTAAAAAAAAGGGTATTTTTACTGCTGTTCTCACAATCAACCAGCTAAACATCTCTCTGACTCTTCTTAGCTTGTCGTCATTTCTATAAAGTCTCCCTTCCTCCTTTATTCCGTGTGATCAGTGTGTGGGCAATAAATCACCCTCCAGGGCTCTTTCGATCAGTACCGAGTCAGTGTTCTCATTCACCCCGCGACATATGGTGGAGAATGCAGGCATAACAGGTGAATTGAGACCCAGACTGGTACCGCAAGGTGGCTATAACGATATCTGTGCTTCTTCTAGGAGAAACCGCTCTCTTCCCCCGGACACATGGAAGAGGTCATCCGTCGCCTAACGGAGCTCTCGGCCCGCCAGCAGCAGTTTACAGAGCGACTGGCCGCCCGGCAGGAGTATACTGACCGGGTCGTGGAACAGCTGCAGGCCAACGTGGCGAGTCGCCTGCCCCTCCCGGAAGCGCCGGGAGGGGTGGGTCCAGGAAGAGTGGGCTCGCATCATCGCCCCCTTTCTCACCGGAGAAGCGCAGCGGGCCTATTATGCCCTGAGGGCACCCCGGAACGAACAGTATGACGAGCTCAAAGCTGAAATCCTAGCCCGGGTGGGTCTATCGCCCATGGGGGCGGCGCAACAGTTCTATCAATGGACCTATGATGACCGGCGGCCAGTGAGAGCGCAAGCTGCGCAACTGGCCCGGTTAACTCACCTGTGGCTTCTCGCGGGGTCCCCGACCCCGGACCAGGTAGCCGAGAAAGTACTTCTCGATCGGCTGCTACGGGCACTGCCCCGCCCGCTGAGGCACCCGGTCAGTATGCGAAATCCCCAGGACATCCACAGCCTGGTGGAGGTGGTCAAGCTGGCGGTGGCAATGAACGCCCGCGAGGCAGGGGAGAGAGCGGGCCTGGCGCCCCGCAGGGTGATGGAGCAGCATCCGCTTGAAGGTGCACCGCGACCAGGCAGCAGACCGGCGGTCCCCGACTTGACGGATGAGCCAATGGCCATGGAACACCCGGTCCCGACGGCACGGGCCTGGATGGCGTACAGTGCGGATCTTAGCGGAGCCCGGGACCTGGGCCATCGAGGTAGGCATTGTGCCGGATCTCCCCGTACCTCTGCTCCTGGGACGGGACTGGCCGGGGTTCCAAAAGCTCCTCCTCGGACCCAGGACGCCAGGCCGTACCGCCCGGAACGGGCCACGGCGACCCCGTCGGGGACTGCCCAGCCCAAGGCCGGTCTACCTAGCGACGGACAGCGAGAGGGAGGGTGAGTGTCAGCCCTCTAATCTACCATCTGTCTACCTTGATGTGTTTTCCCAGGTTACGACCGGGGGCTCGTTCGGAAGGGAACAATGCGAAGACGACCGCCTGTGGAACTGCTGGGATCAAGTGCGCCACATTGATGAGGTAGACAGGCTCCC